TTACATTCTAAGACAAGGCACAGCTATGGGTACTAGGTTTGCACCAAGTTATGCCAATCTTTTTATGGACAATTGGGAGTCTAAAGCAATCTGGGGAGATCACCCCTGGAAAGCAAACCTAGTATCCTATTTTAGATAAATAGACGACTTGTTTTTTATCTGGAAAGGTCCTGAAACCTCACTTAAACTTTTTTTAAACCATCTAAACAACAACAATAGTGGCATCATTTTAACATCAGAACACAGCAAATATTTGATAAATTTTTTTAGATATTCCAAATTTTTATCCAGGATGGGAATATTAACACTGGAACTTTTTTAAAAAAAAGTGTGCACCAACACAGTCATTGACAGATCAAGCTGCCACTACCAACCATGGTTAGATGGGGTCCCTAAAGGTCAGTTCCTACGTCTTCGCAGGAACTGTTCCCTTAATACAGATTTCGACGAACAAGCTAGAACACTAGAAGCTCAATTTATCAGTAAAAATTACCCAAAAGAAAAGCTAGAAGAATCCCTCAAAGCAGTGAAACAAAAAGAAAGACTCGAGCTTTTAGAATATAATACGAATAAAAATAAAGACCCACCATCCATGCCGATCATCTTTAACTTTGACAATAAGAATAAAATTGTGAAAAAAACTATTCAAAAACACTGGCACATTTTAAAACAAGATGAAATTTTAAAGACACTCATCCCGGATAAACCCCAAAGACAATGCTTACTAAAAATTATACAAAAAAAGCCAATACAAGCAATCCATCATTTTTATCAAATTCTAAAGGTTTTTTCAAATGCAACAGATGCATTGTCTGCAGATCCACTGACCAAAACAGCACATCAAAGACAACACAATTCACCTCAAACAAAACAGGTATTACATACCCTATCAAAGATTTAATATGTTGCACTACTAAGAATGTTGTATACCTATTGGAGTGCCCATGTGGCCTCCAGTATGTGGGTATGACCACACGATGCTTAAAAATAAGGTTAGCAGAACATTGTAGAAATATTTTCAAAGGCTACCTTAATCACTCTGTTTCAAAGCATTTTATTCAACACAACAAAGACCCTAAATTTTTAAAATGTACTGGGATCCAAAGATGTAAATTACCCTGGAGGGGAGGTGACCTCAAAAAATTATTGGGACAAAAAGAAATGCACTGGGTGTTCCTTTTAAAAACACTTACCCCCGAAGGTCTTAATGTAGAGTTCGACCTGTTTAATTTTTTATAAATTTTTTATAATTAATTTTTTATAATATATTTCTTATATTTTATTATCTTCTATAATTATTTTGTGCATGAAGTACATATTTATATAATGTGACTTATATACATGACTGTTCTATTTAAATAATATGCAAGGTATTGTGAGTATAAAACCTTGTTTTTAATTTAAATTTTAGACTATCACATGTTTCCAATATAGGTATGTATTCACTGATACATATAAAGTTTAGCACTTTAAAAAAAAAAAGGGCCACTGATCATGTGACTGTTGTATCTAAATATAATTTGTAAGGTATTGTGAGTATAAAACCTCGTTTTTAATTTTAAACTATCACATGTTTCACATATAGGTATGTACTCACTTACACATATAAAATTTAGCACTTTAAAAAAAAAAAATTATGACATCGTTTTGGCGCCATTTTCTAATATGTTCACTGCCTATATAAACCTGTATGTAACAGGATGTACTTTCTGATCTCCACTAGATAAAGCCTAAGGGCAAAACGCGTTGTGGTTTTTTAAACTATATTGTTTTAAATAAAGGTATTTTGGCCACTTTCTTACTGTGAGTTAGCCATCTTACTTTTTATTACTATTATTATTTTACTTTTTTACTACTACCATCCTTTTATCCGGCACCAGAAGTGTTTTTGTGTTTTTCCTTTCCAGTGAGGATATTACTCCCAAGAATCCTAGGTGGGGATTATACCACTCAAGCTGTATTCATTAACCAGTTAGTCTGTTCAACTAAATGTGAGTAACCACTTGGTTTTTTATCTTCTCACCTCTGGCATTTTATACTTTGAGCACCATTGTTGTTCCCGCTTTTATTTCCACATATGGTTCCCTAATCAAGAAAGAATACTAAGACCTCATGTATCCCATAAGTGGGGATTATACCACTGTACGTTATCAACACTAGAGCTAAGTCCATAGCTCTTGAAAACGTGAGTAGGACCATATACTCTTTTATTGCTTCTACCCCTTTCGGGACATACTATACCATCAGTTGTTATTTTCTCATTTCATATGATGTACAAAGACGCATCTACACCACTCTGAAGAATCCCCCACTACAAAAGACTGTATTCACCTCTACAAAGAAATACCTCGTTGTTTGATCCATCTACCAGTCAGACTATTTATTCTGGACTTCTATTTGCTTATTATCCATCATATATATTGCATTCTAGTCTGCCTATTCTGTGCTCTTTTAATTTATGTGGTTTATAGTGGCGCTGCCTTCCTTTCTTTTTTCTGTACCATTATCATCAATGCCATTGTCGCATGGAGCGACACGATCGCCCTGGTGAGAGGCAGCGCCCAGGGAAATCGGACCGGGGACAGCCGGGGTGATGGGGAGTCCGGGGAGAAAGTGACGTGTTATGGGAACTGCCCAGCTGTGACATTGTAGGGTGGGGTTTGGCTGACGTAGCTGGTTCTTCAGAACCAACCACCATGAGGGGGAAGGCTGGGCTTGGATCCGGAGCACTTTGGGTTGGTGTGGGGGTCGGGCCAGAGGGGATGACGTGGGACTGGGCGGGTGACTGGATCAACGCGGAAAGGGCGGAGAGGAGGGGAGACAACTCAGTGCGGAGAGAAGCTGGAAGAGAGGAGGGGTCCACCACGGGAGGGGCTTCAGGAAGTGGAGGAGGAGGAGGAGGAGGAGGAGGAGGAGACTCGAGGGCAGCGGAGAGGGCTGTGAGAAGGGAAGACACTAGACTAGTAAAGGAACCGTAAGTATTAATGATGGGATTAGGAAAGGAAACGGAAGGGGTTACTGTAGGAGCCGGGTCAAGGGGAGTGTCGGAAATGACGGGAATTGGGGCAGCGGGGCGGAGTAGTGATCGGACGTAGGGCGTCTGTGCATTAACTGGGGAAGATGGGCGGGTACTGTTCAGCATGGTCTGGGCACCATCATAGGGCGGTGGCCGGGGATGGTCAGGGGAAACATTAGTATTACAATAATTTCGATGATACACATAGAGCGTTTGTCCCTCAAACTCAAGCTCTTCCTCTGTCCAACCCTCCCGGTTAAGTCCTCAAGCAACCCGATACCAAGCCTCTACTGCTTTGGTTAGCCCATTATCAGATAACAACCCTTCCTTGTCCACAAGCAACTTCCTCCAAAACTGAGGTTGCAATCTACCTCCAGGTGGCAACTGGAAACCACATACTTTAGAAATTTTCTTGATCTTTAACACTGTATCCTCCCCCGCCCTTTCCTTTACAATATTACAAGCTAGAAGCCCCTTAGCTGGTCTAGCGTGTTCCTGCCCCATTTTGACTAAGCGAGGTCTACCAAGTAAAGGGGAACGGGTGAGAGGGAAGAAAAAGTAGTAAAGTCTACAGTGCTCGACTGCCACGGGGGACCCGTGCGTCTTCCCAAAAACGTAGACTAGTCACGATGGTCTGTGCACCCGGGGGTGGTGACCACAGACCAGAGGGGGCGAGCGTGGGTGACTAACACAGCTCTGGGAAGCAGAGACAGGACAGATACAGAATAAGGGAGAAAATTAAAGTGGCAACACTAAGCACTAGACATTTGCAAAAATCAAAGACGTAGAAATGGGTGTACACTCCGGAGTCAAGAACAAACCACACTACACACACACAAACACCAAGGGTACCCACACTGTAACAACAATTAAACAAAATCCACAAAATAACAGAGAGCAATATGGCCATGTACATAATCAAACAATGCAATACAAATCAAATAACATTCCCAGCCCCTTAAACCAGGCTGTCAAAAAAATTCCCCAACCCGATCTCACGGGTGGTCCCCAGCGCTGTCACAAATCCCCAACCCTTTACACTGGTGGTCCCCAGCCCTTTACCGGCTGTCGCGTTCCCTTCCCGCTAGGCAGTCAAGCTAGGATTTTTAAAAGAAACACATACACCGGCCGTCACTCACACTCATATAAACACTCAGGAGGCAGATAGACAATCAACAGGTTCTGTAAAAAGAGGTACCGGATAAGATATTACCTGTCTAGTAGCCTTCTGGATGCTGAAAGGACGCGGAGACAGACCGACACAAAACAGGAGTATGCAGTCAACGGCTGTATGGTGGAGGTGATCAGGCTCCGGGTGTCCCACTTTCCGGAGGTCCGCTCCGGTCCGTTGGTTTCCGGCCCTCCGAGCCGGCAAATCCGGTGCCCCACGTTGGGCGCCAATTGAAATGGAAATCAACTCAATCGATTGATTAATATTGTGTATCTGCCCCTGACCAAATTAAGAAACAATGCGTGCATGCTCCCCGAAGTAATTCACACCAGACACAAGTTTCAGGTTGTTGAATAACTTGAGGAATGTTTATTCAAAAGGGGACCGCAGGTCCCTTTTAAAGCAAAATTACATCATAAGCATTGTCAGAGATAACATGAAATAATACATCAATAATTGGTTAGGTGTTAAGTAGTTGCCTTAATGCTCTGCCTACTAGAGGTGAAGTCACTGAGACCATGAGGGTCTCCTCCAGATCCCAGTGCCATCTTGTTACATGAGGTAGTTAGTCGAGGTTATAGGGGTTAGAAGCTTCTAGCAGCCATTTTGTCTAAATATGCGTGAATAGTTTATATACTGATTTCAGTGTGATGGGTAAATACACATTTTACTAACTAAAAAGATATATGTATATATGTCAATATCTCATTTCCACAACAGGAACCTTTCTTAAAAGATTTATTTTCTAAATTAATCACTACTCAAGAAGATCATTCCCTAATCTAGGATACATGTCATAGGATGGGAAAATTCCCAACATCAACAGAAGATCCACCAAGAGATGTATTAAGTCATTGCATAATCTCATGATTAAGAGATAACATTGTAAAAGCTATAAAAGAAGTCTCATTAGCAGACCCATATAAAAAAATACACATTTTTCCAGATCTATCTTTCTATACCAGATCTAAAAGACGTACATTTGCATCCCATACAGCAATCCTTAGAAAACAATGATATTAAGTATAGATGGGGATTTCCCACAAAGGTCATCTTTACACATGAAATAAAATTAGTATTTGATACTCTGGAAAAATCAAAGTCTTGGATGGAGGATAACCGTTTATTAAATTAATTCAAGAAAATATTACAGATTAAAGAAGAATTTTTTTTTTAATTGTTCTTCTCTTTTGTTTTATAAGAAAACGTTATAGAGATGCATATATAACAAACTGTCGAACATGGACACAACATAAGCCATAACGGATTCCAAAAAGGGTTTTGTTTTTTTTCTCTCTTTCTCCAACACAAATGAACCTATATAATCTACATAAACACTTCAAGAATAAATATTTGTTACATATAAAATATAGTTACATAGAACACAAACTAGGGTGATGCAGATGAGTGAAAGAGGAGGGAGCATAAGACTGAATTGAATCTTATTGATTGTAATGACTTTCACTTTAGTAACATGAACACAATGAGAGAGTTTGAAAGGAAAGGGAAAAGAAAAATATATAAAAATAATAGGTATGAGATAGATAAAGAAGTTGTATTTAACAAAATTAATTTTACACCACACTAATAGACATAATTATATTAATAAACGTCACTTCACATGATTTAATAGAATAAATTATCACTTACCATATACAAAATTGATTATCAGATCATACACACTGAATTTATGAAGTAATTGTGAAAAACGAGATCAGAATTATAAAAGATAATAATATAGGAGGTTAATAGAAGGTTGAATGTTTAATGCTTAAAGGGGAGGAAATAGAAATGGAAAAGAGGAAAGACTTTTTTTAATCTTATTTATTTATTTTGTTACTATAATTATCTCATTATGAGTACTGATCTGATGGATCTAAGTATGAAATAGGATTATATCTGTATGACGATGCCTTTTATGTAATGAGGAGATTTAAAGAATTATGCAAGGAATTGTAAAGATATGTGTAAAAAAATTTTTTATTAAATTTTTTTCCCCCTTCTTTCTGTGCTCGACCATCATAAGTCTAAAAAAATAAGAGAGACCAACAACTAATACATTAACACTTCGAACACAGTCTAAATATATTATATGAAATAGAAAATAAATGAAAAGGGGAGAAAACAATAAAGAGGGGGGGAAAAGGGAAACTATCACTTCAGCTCCTACCGCCATAGCATTTATGGCATCCATTATCCGCACAATAGGGTATAACTTACGGAGTCAGGCTTGCATATACGGGATTTGCAGGGATGTCAGTTGTAAATATATTTATGTAATGTTTTGTGTAGTTTTGTTTTTGTTCTCTTCTTTTTTTTGGGGGGTGGGAACAGAGGCGTGGATCTGAGGATCTATGATTAAAATACTTACTCTTAATGTACGAGGATTAAATTCTCCCTGTAAAAGATCAATGTTATATCGATATTTGAATAAACAAAATATCGATATTTGTTGTGTCTAATAGACGCATTTGAATCTAAAAGATAAGAGTAATATAAAATCGTAAAAATATCCATTACGTTTTTCGGCTTCATTAAACACACAAAAAAAGGGGGTGTTGCAGTTCTTTTCTCCAATTCACTTAATTGTAATAATAAGTATGTAGAAGAGGATAAGGAAGGGAGATATATAATTCTAATGGGAGAATTTAATAATCAAACTATGACCTTGGTCAACATATGCTCCAAATAAAGCTAAAAAATCTACATTTTTTTTGACAAAATAGAAAAATTAAAACAAGGAACACTTCTAGTTATGGGTGATTTTAATTGTGTGTTAAATCCCCAATTAGATAAGAGTTATAAAAAAGGTAAGATTCATAACAAAAACATTATTTTTCAGTCATGTAAATTACAATTGATATTGGATAAACATACCCTTTTAGATATATGGCGGGTTTTTCACACAGTAGGTAGAGACTATACTTATTTTTCAAATTCACATTGTACATATTCACGGATTGATATAACTGGTAACTTTGGAGCGGTTCAACAAATTAAAAAAATGATAATACAAGAAATATCTTGGTCAGATTATAACTCATATAATACTATAAAACATAATACTTGAAATGAAAGATAATTTTCAAAAATTTACATCTGACTGGCGCTTAAATAATAATCTCCTAAAATATGAAAAAGATATTGAATACATTAAACAGATGACAGAAATTTTTTTTTTAGAAAATCAATCTGAAAACCTTTCTTACCCTCTAATTTGGTGTGCTTCTAAATCAGTAATAAGGGGACACCTTATAAAGTAGGGGCACAAGCTAAAAATAACTCAAAACTAACAGATCTTCATTTCAAATTATATCAACAAATTAATTAAAATAAACAAAACCCAACTGTTCTCAGATCTAACAATATATCAGATCTGAAAAAAAGGATAAATTAACTTTTAATTGAAAAAATAAATAAATCAATACAGGCCTAAAAATATCCTGGTATTACAAAGGAAATAAAGCAGATACAATTCTATCAAATAAACTTCATAAAAAAAGAAAAGAGAGAATCATTTCCAAGATTACACAGAACAATATAGTTTATCTAAATCCAGAAGACAGGCCAATTATTTAATAAATATTATCAACAATTGTATAATTTACCAATATTATCTACAATGAGTAATATAAAAGATTATGTTGATAAGAAAAATATAACCAAAATTCTCTTAAGAAATATTAAAATAATAATAATAAGTGATCAAAATAATCAAATAGCAAAAAAAAAAAAAAAATCTCCAGTCCTATAAATTATATGCAAAGGACTTAGCTCCACACCTCATAAGGACTTTTAATGAATTTATTAAGAAAGGAAATATACCCAAAGAAATTCTGTGTGGAAATATAGTACCAATCCTCAAAACAGGTAAAGATCCAGAGGATGTTACCAGTTATAGACCTATATGAATTTTAAATCAAGATATTAAAATATATGTGCCCATAATAGCTGAAAGATTAAAACCTGTACTAACAACTCTAATAGACAATAACCAAGTTGGTTTTGTCTCAGGGAAATTTTCAGTAAATCATATGCGATCACTTATGAATATATACCAACAAGCTCAACAATCCAAATCCCCCTTACGGACCCTGTCATTAGATGCCGAAAATAGTCAGTTGGGAACATATGGCACAAACAATGAGGGCTTTTGGATTAGAGGGTAATATCTACGATGCTACTATGGCTCTTTACTCTAGACCATCAGGTAGAGTTATAGGATCTGGAATAAAATCAACATGGTTTTCAGAAACAAACGGCACCCGTCAAGGATGCCCGCTGTCCCCTCTCATCTATGTTCTCTCATTGGAGCCTCTCGTAAGAGACATTAGAGAACACAATAACATCATAGGATTTGCTAATATGAAATCACAAAAAATAAAACTCTATGCCGACGATATATTACTAACAATATAAGATGCCTGTATCTCGACAGATGCTATTATGAGCTGAATAAAAGAATCTCAAAAACTACTGCTATTCCTCTAAATATGTCAGAATTACAGATAAATAAAATTAAGGATAAATATGACTTTAAATGGGTAGTCACAAGTTTTGTTTATTTGGGAATCAATATATCAATACATGCTGCTGAATGGCTAGCAATACATTTACTCCCATTAATAAAAGAGACCAATAGACTACTTAAAACATGGAAACCTCTTGAAGTTTCATGGTGGGGTAGAATAAACCCCATTAAAGCATATATACTACCTAAGTTCACCTACATATTTGAATGATTCCTCAATTAATACCCCTCCCTTGGATTAAAATGATTCAATCTGCCTTTACAAAATATATTTGGTTAGATAAAAAAACAAGAATGGGCCTACAATTGATTTCAAAAAATAAAAAATAAAAATAAAGGAGGATTAGGGATCCCAATTATCCAGGAATATGCAAATGCAGCTATTTTGGCACATGCAATAGCAACACAAAATAGTAGAAGAATAAATGAAAACTGGTACATCTAAGAAAAAAATGAGACAAAGACCCAGCACATGTTGTTACTATTTTGGTCTTCTAAAACACAACAATCCCGTATGTTCCTAAATGATAACGACTCCCCCTTAACGCCGAGTGACGGACGGGGTCCGTCATAGAGGGGAGACCCTTAATGACGAGTGACGGACCTCGTCCATCACGCGGTAAAATTAACCCCGGATCGCCGCTATCGCGGCGATCGCGGGGTTAATGGTGCTCCGGTATGCCTCTGCATTAGAGGCATACCGGGAGCACCCGGTCAGGCTGCCCAGCACATGTGCTCGCTCTGACCGCAAGTCAGAGCGAGCACATGTGCTCTGTATACTCACCTTCCGCTTCCCTGCACTTCCTGGTTCTGTGTGAAGTGCAGGGAGCCGGAAGAGTGCACATCCTTCCCCCTGCTGTAAAAAAAAAAATTAATTTAAAGTCCCACCCCCCCCTTTACCATTTTAATAAAAAATTAACCCCTTCCCTGCCAATTGATCACTGACTACAGTGATCAATTGGCAGGGATTACATTTTACTATGATCTGATTTTTTTTTACCCCCTCAGGGGTTAAATTTATTTATTTAATTAATTAAAATATTTTTTAATTATATATTTAGCTTGCTGGGGTGGGTGGAAGTTAGTGGGGAATTGGGGGATTTGGCTAGTAGTCTCTCCTTTTCAAGAGCCATGCCCCCAATTTCAGCTGGCTGGGGTTGGGATGAACAGCTGGTCCCTGGATTAAGATGTTTGGTCTGAGAGGAAGAGGCCAAGGAGGTTCCAGGCTCATCTTGTTCAGCAGGGGAAACCAAGGTCTGCGAGGCCAGATTGGGATGATGGCAATGACTTTGAGACCTTCCTTCCATATTTTTCTCAGCAGTCGGTAAATCATTGGTAGGGGAGGGAACGCGTACCCCAGATCGAATTCCCATGGAAGAGACAGGGCATCCTGTCCTTCTGCTCGATGATCCGCATGTAGGGAGTAAAACCTCTTCACCTGAGTGTTGTTGTATGAAGCCATCAGGTCGATCTGGGGTACTCCCCACCGCAGGGTGATCAAGT